ATAAATGAAATCTGTTACTGCTTCCATTTCTACTCCTTCTATTGCCAGGACTTGATGGGTCCAGACGCCATCTGGATACTCTTAACAGCAAATTTTTGAATTGGGTACATACAGTGGTGCTTAAAAGTTTGAGAACCCTTTTGAATTTTCAATATTTCTGCCTAAATATGACCTAAAACAGATGTTCTCCACACAAGTCCTAAAACTAGATAAAGAGAACCCAGTTAAACATATGAGTCAAAAACATTATACTTGTTCATTGATTTATTGAGGCACCAAGTCAGTCTGTAGCCTTCTCAGTATAAGGAAGAAACACCTTTCCTACTCAGGTGGTTTGTCCTTTGATGTATATATGATGTTATTTTTATTGCTGGACTGCATCCCTTATCTGATCTTACTGGCAGAGCAACCGCTAGCCTCTAAAGTGCTCTCAAGGTATCTTGGCTCATTGGATAACCTTTCAGGCTCACAAATACTATCTAATACACTCTGTGAGCGTTTTAATTATACTTCTGGCAGGAATTATGGTTAGATTGTTTATATAAATAGCGATCCGTATGTGTTGGTTTTTGGTATACTATATGACCTAGTTGCTGATTCTGTTCAGATTCTAGGCTAATCTGAACTCATCACCATCAAATTGATGCTGACTGTGAAAGTCTGCATCAATATTAAAAATTGTTCCTTTTTGTCAATAAATAAGAAAAGCATTCTTCCTTTTTTATTTGGAATTCAAACTTCTAGTTTTTTCTACATTAAAAGCAGACTATGATACCTTAGCTACCTAGTACACACAAATAGAAAAAAACAGATACCTTTCAGCATCTTTGATAAAAGTGTGTTATCTCCTCTTTGCTTTTATATAGAATAAGCAGGATTTCTTATCTGAGCACATTTTGATAGTTCATGTTATAGACAACTAAAGGGCAGAGGTAAGGATGGGAATCCCTTGGTCCATGGGCTGTTTGTGACTCTGGCCCTTATTTTGTATCCTCCAGAGCCTGGTCCTGATGTACCATCACATTTTTGTTGCAGATTTTGTTTTTTGACATTTCTCTCTATCAGTTACAATGTTTTTGCAGGAGTCCTTGAGGGTTTGGGGTTTCTTCTCTTTTTAATTGTTATTGCTTTTTTGACTTGGAGATTATTTTTGCTTCACATGACTTTCACATCATGGTCCTGCTTAAATAATGTCAGTGTCCTCGGCTATTAAAAGTGTGGTTTTCTAGTGTTAAAAGATTGCCTATCCCTTTTGTAATTGATCACCTTGAATTTCATTATTTTTAGTAAGAGTTGGGTATGTACTCACAGAAAAGTATTTACTACCAGACAGTGAGATATTTTATTTATTTATTTATTTATTTTATTTATATTTTGAATTTAGACATCACCGATTTCACAAGGAAGTGGCTCTGGGTGGTTTACAATAAAACAACAAATAAATATTAATTAAAATACAATAAAAACAGTATAAA